AAGTGTGATAATGTACTCCTAACTTAGAGTCTCCCCTGGAGGCTGAGGCCAAAGAACTGTTGGAACCCAGGAGTTGCAGATGGCAGTAAGCTATGATCATGCCACTCCAGCTTGGGTGACAGATCAAGGCCTCATCTCAAAAAATGATAAAATCTGGTTCAGCGCCTGTAGCACAGTGGTTATAGCACCAGCCATGTACACTGAGGCTGGTAGGTTTGAGCTCTGCCCAGGCCAGCTAAACAACAATGACAACTGCAACAGAAAATAGACGGGCATTGTGGAGGCACCTGTAGTCCCAGATACTTGGGAGGCTGAGGCAAGAGAATCACTTAAGCCCAAGAGTTGCTGGCCTTGGAGTTTGCTGTGAGCTGTGATGCCACGGCACTCTATCAAGGGTGACATAGTGAGACTCTGTCTCAAAAATAATAATAATAACAATAAAATCTTGGGGGAAACTAATTCATACTGTCTACACTGTTCTAGGCACTGTAATGTGTATTTACTATAATATTTAAAACTGAAAATTCTAGGGCAGTGCCTATGGCTCAGTGGGCAGGGCGCCGGCCCCATATCCTGAGGGTAGTGGGTTCAAACCCATCCCCAGCAATAAAAAAATAGCCAGGTGTTGTGGCGGGCACCTGTAGTCTCAGCTATTTGGGAGGCTGAGGCAAGGGAATCACCTAAGCCCAGGAGTTGGAGGTTGCGCTGTGTGACACCACGGCGCTACCGTTGGTGAAAGTGAAATTCTGTCTTTATAAAAAACAAACAAACAAAAAAACCAGACAATTCTACTACAGAAATTGAGAGAAATGAAGTACTGGAGCAAACGGCTTGTGAGATGATATTCACAATGAGTTAAGTATAAACAGTAAATAGTTATTGATCTGTAAGGCATGTTAAAGAGAGAATAAATGGAACATTTGTGTATTGAACATAGATAAAAAATAACGAGACAAATGAGTGCCACTTATAGACTGAAAGGGCTGAAAGGACCAAGTAAGTAAATCTTAAATATTCTCAAGGTAAGGAATAAATATGTCACTTCCAGAATGACAGCTATGTTATACCTAAATTAGCTGCCCATTGGTAATATCCATTCTGACCCCACATGTGCTTTTCTCAAGAACAGACAATATCCATAGTGGCTCAGCAGGCTAATTTATGCAAAGTTACAGCTGTGCTCAGATATGCTTACTTCTGCATCTCTCCAAAACAAGGTGTGTTGGCTCTACCTTTTGTCTCCTGAGCATTCTTGCTCATCCTCTTCTATGGTCCTCATAACCACACCATGTTAAGTGAGGAAGGCTGATGTAGCAAAGACAGGACAGGAACAGTAACATTAAGAATCAAACAGTATAGGCAGGGTGCAGTGGCTCACACCTATAAACCTAGCACTCTGGGAGGCTCAGGTGGGTGAATTGCTTGAGCTCTTTTCAAGACTACTCTGAGCAAGAGTGAGACTCCCATCTCTACTAAAAATAGAAAAACTAGCTGGGTGTTGAGGCAGGCACCTGTAGTCTCAAGTACTTGGGAGGCTGAGTCAAGAAGATCACTTGAGTCAAGAAAAGCCCAAGTGTTTGAGGTTGCTATGAGCTAGGATGCCACAGTCATGGCACTCTACCAAGGGCACAGAGTGAGACTATGTCTCAAGAAAAAAAAAAGAATCGCATAGTATAATCCTTTCCCATACCCTATCTTAAATAGTCAACACCAACTCTTTCCCCTCGCTGTACATTTTAAATTTATTTAATAAAGGGCAGCTTGTGTGCTTGTTCATTGTGACTTGGTACCCCTTTTGTGAAGTGGCAGTTGAGAAGACTCTGGTATTCTCCATGGCTGACAAAAAGCCCAAGGAAGGAGTCAAGACTGAGAGCAACAATGATATTAATTTGATGGCAGGGAAGAATGATTCTGTGGTACAGTGTAAGATTAAGAGGCATATACCACTTAGTAACTAATGAAATCCTACTATGAATGAGGGTGTCAATAAAATCGATAAGATTCCAGTTTCATGGGCAGCTAATCAATGAATCAGACACACCTGCACAGGTAGAAATGGAGGCTGAATATATGATTCATGTGTTCCAACAAAAGACAGTAGGTGTCTATTAACAAAGGAACCTGTTACTTTATTCTAGACTTCTGTCCCCACAGACCAAAAGTACACTCTTAATTAGAATAACTTGGTTTCACATCCTAATTACTACAGTTTAGTTTTCTCTATCCTTTCGTTTTCCCCTTCTCCATTACTTTACTGTTCATAAAGAAACTGGTGTATATGCACAAGTATAATACATTTTGTTTTTTACTAAATGAATAATGGTATGCTTTGATCAACATCAAATGGAGATAGGATGGGAAAAAGTACTAGTTCCATGAAAATATCCTCTTCCCCATCAGTGGCATGCTCATTCAACTCTTACCTTTATATTTTATAACCAAAATACACACACACACACACACAACAAAATACAAACCTAAAAATCCTTCCTTACCCTGCTCAGTTGGAGAATTTTAATGTTTTGCATTTATCATTGTAAAACCAAAGACAATTTTATAACTTCTGTGTCTGTAAGTAGGGATAAGTTACTGGGAACAGTGGCTTACATCTATAATCCTAGCACTCTGGGAGGCTGAGGCGGGTGGATTACTTGAGATTAGGAGTTCAAGACCAGCCTGAGCAAGAGTGAGACCTCCATCTCTTAAAAAAGAAAAAAGCCACGTGCTGTGGTGGGCGCCTGTAGTCCCAGCTACTTGGAAGGCTGAGGCAAAAAGATCTCTTGCACCCAAGAGTTTGAGGTTGCTGTGAGCTATAATGCCATAGCACTCTACCCAGGGCGAAAAAGTGAGACTATCTTAAAAAAACAAGGACAAATTATTCTTTAGAAAAAGAATCCTAGTTTTCCCATCAAGTCAAATATCTTGCTTAAAATGCAAATAAATAAAGTGATTTAATAAACTAGGTGATCAGGCATCAATTTGATCTTTTTGTTACATGACCGCTGAGATGGCCTGACAAGTAGAATACTTGGAAGCTACCTTGCATCAAGGTAATTTCTCACCTCAGTGTTTTACAAGTACTATATTATAAAATCCACAAAGCGAACTTAAGAGGAAGAAATTACTATTACTATTATCCTTTAGATCAGAAAACTGACTCTCAGAGTGGGTAAATAACTGGCCCAGACAACACAATTCCTCTAGTGAGGGAACTAGAACTCATGCCCAGGGTTTATATTCTTTTTCACTTAACTCATTCATTTTTGTATCTTCAATACCTAACATGAGGCCCAAAGCACAGTAGACACAACGTTTAATTATTTCAATTAAATGAATGGATCCTGGCTCTTATTTGCCAGGTGGCCTACAGTAAATTATCTAACTTCTTTAAGACTCAGCTTCCTCAGTTAACAGATGCAAAAATTCCACTCAGCATTTGACCCCTTGTAGTTGCTTTAAGAAAAGCTAACTCGCTTCCCCCTATCCTCTGGGGGCAAGTTTTAGAAAGACCTTTTGGTCAATCTCAAAGCTTAAGGTAAAATTTTTATCCTACTTTACCACACTTCAGACAGCCACAAAACAGGTTTCTGTTGTTCAGATGAAGACAAGGTCCCCTCAATATTTCAGCTTAAATTAAATCACTTTATTTTTGCTTCACCAAACTATTTTTTTCTTCCTGTTGTAGTTATCTTTAGTAGTTCCCCTGAGAGAAGGGTTTGAGTAACTCAACCAAATCACTGTCCCCCTCAGCAGCCACCGTCTTACTGCCACTACATTACGCAGTAGTAACAAAGAGCACGTGGCAAGGAGACTTCGATGTCCATTTTTTTAGCTGGATAACCTCAGTTACTTTTCCAAAAACTCAAATTTCTTCACCTGTGAGGAAAACTGCTCCATCTACCTCATGGAACTGTCCTGAAGATGAAATGAATTAACTCACATAAAGTGCTTAGTGTACTGCCTGGCACTCCTGTAAGAGATCGGTAAACATGACTAAAAGCTTAGTTTGTTGAAATAACTGCAGAGGGCTCAAAGTATTCTCCTGAATTTGGTAGTCTCTCCCCCTCCTCCTCACTGTAGCCCCGCTCACACCCACACACTTTCCCCCCAACCACTTCCTCTTATGCTTCGCTTACACACCAAACACCCAGCCTTTTTACCGCATTAGTTTTTGACGTTTTGGCTTCCCCTACGCCCGCCCCTCAAATTCTCACTTCAGTAGCGCGTTCTCACGCGGCAGTCTCGGGACAGGCCGGCTTAGCGCACCATACCGTGTTCCTGGGCACCACGAGGCACGATGAAGGCTAGCCGGGGAATGTTGACATGGCATGCCGGGCACCTCTTGGAGCAGGAGAGACAGCCAGCGCCGGGCGCGGCGGGGCGGGCAGCAGGCCGGTGGCCGAGTCCCTCGGGAAGTCGACCTAGAGGCGAAGCCCAGAGGCCTCAGCTAGCACCTCAGAAAGCGGGAGAGAAGGCGGGGGGAATAGGGGCAGAGGCTCTGAGATGGGTGGGCGGGGCTCTGAGGTGGGTGGGCGGGGCCCTGCCGAGGCACCTGGAGTCCTTTAAGGCGCAGGCGAGAGCGCAGAGGGAGAGGGGCCCTGAGAGTGGGTGGGGATTGGCCGGCCCCCTGAGGATCCCTCCTCGGGCAGGCGGGAGGCGGGGCGAACGCAGGGAATTGGTGCCTACTGCAGTAGGCAGGGCTGTCCATAACAAGGTGTCCCTAGTGGTAACAAACGGGATGTGACCCAGACATTGGAGTGACGCGAAGCCGGCGGAGGTAAGAGAATCCCTTAGTCTGCAGGCGGGGAGGCGGGGCCGGCCGAAGTAGGCGGAGCCCTGAGGCGGGGAGGCGGGCTCAGGGAGAGTCCCTCAATGGGGAGTCCAGAAAGCTGGGCTGGCGCAGCGTAGAGGGGTGGGCCGAGGTAGTACGCGTCTCTAGAGCGGGGGTGGGGGGGCGGGGCGGACCGAGCGGACCCTCGGGCCACCAGAGTCCTGTCGTAGTTGAAGTTGGCCGGCTGTGCACAGTTCCCTCAGCTCCCGTAGCTCTGGCGGAGACTGCGCGATGGGCGACCCGGAAAGGCCGGAAGCGGCCGGGCCCAAGCTGGATGAGGTAAACGTTGACCGTAGCTTCATTCCCCGCCCCACAGGCGCGCCTGGCCTATAGATTACAAGTTACTGGATCGCTGTAGGAAATTTTATTCATCGCCATCAGACCCTGGGCGCAGGCCGGTCTGCGTGCCCTCGCCGCAGCCTGGTTTCGTGGTTTAGCGCTGGGGTGCGGGAGGCAGTCCCCGGGAGGGGCGAGGAAGGAGCGGGGTTCCGCTGCGCTGCCCCAGGGCCAGCCCGGGCAACGCTCTGAGGCCCGAGGGTGCGCTTCACCCTTGACGCTCTGAGGCCGAGGGTGAGGCTTTCCCCTCGGTTTTCCGCCCGGTACTGTCCTACCCTCTTTCACCGTTCTCGGGCCCTGGTTAGAGAAACTGAGACAAGGGAAGAAAACGGTGGAGGATCCATTGGAGAAATACGTACCACAGCTGAGAGGGCCGAGGTGGATGAGGACACAGGTGGATGGGGTGAAAATGACATAATGGGGACGCAAAATCCTGAATAAGCTCCTAACGATGAAAAACCTTAGGTTAGGAGCCCAGTTTTGCTCAGACTAGGCTACTTAACGGAATCTTTGAGGTGTCACTCTGTTTATACGATGGAAGCGATACTTCCCTCTCAGAAAATTAAAATGTTTTATGCAAAGTGCCTCAAAAGTTGTGGGTGCGTAATAAACCCAAGTTAACTTGTTCATCCTCTCTGCTTCTGTGCTAATTACAAGTAGCACAGTATTAACAGTAGACAAACTGGGATTTGTTAGATGATCGGGTTATGTAGTAGTTTAAATTATTGCTCAATAATTTTCATACCGTTATTTTGCAAATACTTATAAACCGCTTGTGAACGAGAGAAATAACGTTTTGTACTTGAACCTGTTGCTGTGTGTGGTATCTTTAATACTGTGAAACAAAAGTTTCAGCTCATAGAGATTCATGCTTAGCCCTGCATTTCTTTAGAAAGTTGTAGATTCTAGGTTTAGAATTTTATTTTATTTTGGACCACTTAGTAACTAATTAACATTTTAAATATCTCTCAAATTTTTTCTTCTTCTTTGGAAACAAATACATTCAGTACCAATTTCCCACCCAGTTGGGAAATTCAGACTTTTCTGTTTATGCTAATGGTACTAGGCTCATTCAGGCTTAACACCTGAAAGTCAACTTTTATTTATTATCCCCATCTCAATGACACCCACAAAGACAGAATTTTAGATCTAGAAAGAATTTTAGTAAGCATCTGGTCCAAAAGTTTTTAACATGAGATGCAAGGATGCCTTAAGCACTTTGTTTCTCTAGATGCGATGGTACAGAATCAGCCACTTGCATCAGAATCACCTGGAGTATTTTGTAAAAAATTGTGAATCAGAGTTCAAGGTTGCAGTAAGCTATGATTGTGCTACTGCACTTCAGCCTGGGCAACAGAGCAAGAGCTTGTCTCTTAAAAAAATAAATAAATAGAGTAAATTACTGGGCCCACACCCTAGACATAGTGAATCACTTGGGGTGGGTTTAAATCTATATTGTTAACAAGTACGTCAGGTGATCCTATTACATGTACTTTAAGAAACAGTGTCCTAAAGGGTCCGTAGATGGGCTTCATGAGGGTTTATAAATCTGAAATTATAAAACATGCAAAGTAGATGTTTTATGCACAGACGTGACTCTCCTGAGAAAGGTGTCCATAGCTATCATCAGTTTCTCAAAGTTAAATTTTAGTAATCTAATTTATAATTCCTATTTTTTTTTTTTTTTTTTGAGACAGAGCCTCAAGCTGTCCCCCTGGGTAGAGTGCCGTGGCATTATAGCTCACAGCAACCTCCAACTCCTGGGCTCAAGCGAGTCTCTTGCCTCCGCCTCCCAAGTAGCTGGGACCACAGGCGCCCGCCACAACGCCCGGCCATTTTTTGGTTGCAGCCGTCATTGTTGTTTTGGCGGGTCTGGGCTGGGGATTCAAACCCGCCACCCTAGGTGTACGTGGCTGGCGCCTTAGCCAGTTGAGCTATAGGCGCCAAGCCTATAATTCCTATTTTCAAGGTAAAAAGGTTTAGGCTGGAAAACATTAGATGACATGCCCAGGACTCAGTAGTAGAGCTAGATTTTTTTTTTTTTTTTTGAGACAGAGTCTCACTACATTGTCCTTGGTAGAGTGCTGTGGTGTCATAGCTCATAGCAACCTCAAACTCTTGGGCTTAAGTGATTCTCTTGCCCTAGTGTCCCAAGTAGCTGGGACTACAGGCGCCCACCACAGTAGTAGAGCTAGATTTAAAACCAAGTTCTTGCACCTGGGTCAGTTTTCCATTTGCTTTGTCATACTTGGTAAAAGTGCAAAAATGAAAATGATACCTTTGAATAATGTATGACTATGACCATATGCCTAGCGCTCACATATTCCACATAGGTAAAGGCTAAGGGTGATGTGTAATGCAGCCTAGATCAGGTCATTATTATGTGCTTGCTGAGGAGTCTTGACTTTGTTGCCCGGGTTGTCCAAGTATATCTTTGGACCACGTGATAAGAAATTGAGTCAGGCAGAAACTGGAATCACCATACTGGAAAAGACAGTGGAATGTTGTTAAAGAATGCCTATTGCCAAACTTTATTTCATATTCTCATCACTTTACACCTGTGTAACTACAACTTAGTTGTCTCTCTGCCTCCTATCTTACCTGCCATCCAATCCTACTTACCATTACCAAGTAAATAGGTAGACCATTACTAGTCATTAGACTAGTGACTCTATGTCACTATACCCCCACCCCTTAATGTCTCCCAGTAGGGTCTCAACTTCCACCAAAAGGTGGCCAGCTCCTCAGTTTGGTAAAGTCCTCTTGAAGCAGCTTTTTCATGCTGACGGCCATATTTTAATTCAGATCTTCATTTCCGTCTCTGAAATTGATACCTTAGTTGCTAACAAAATCTAGCTTTTTTCCTAATTCTTCCTACACATGGATATCTGATTAGTCTTCCTAACACCACCTCTATTCATGGTAATTCCTATCCAAAACCTCAATGACTATTTACAGGAATGACTTTGAATTGTACCCCAAATGACTTTGAATTGTACCCACCTGGGAGCTGGGGCAAGTGGAGTATGAGCCTCCCCAAGGTTGTTTGAAAATCTTTAGCCCTTAAAATTAATTTCTAACTTCTTAGCCTGATTTAGATACAGAGTCTGGATCCTTTGCTTAAGCCAAATCAGATTGCTTTTGTCTTTGCTTTTTTTTTTTTTGTCCTGCAACCGTTTCAATTTGTTTTATTTAATCCCAGCTGGCTCCTTTTCTTCCACCTGCCCTTTAAATAGCAGAATTCTTGAAGGCAGTGTTTTTCAACCTTTTTTGTCTCACAGCACAATTGAACCTACAGTCAAACCTTTGCTGCACAATTAAATTATGTTGATAAAAAAAAAAAAAGAGTAAAAGAAAGAATGTACTTACTGTGCTTTGAACTTCTTTTGAAAATAGTCGGCTCGGCGCCTGTGGCTCAAGTGACTAAGGCACCAGCCACATACACCTGAGCTGGCGGGTTCGAATCCAGCCCGGGCCCGCCAAACAACAATGATGGCTACAACCAAAAAATAGCTGGGCATTGTGGTGGGCGCCTGTAGTCCCAGCTACTTGGGAGGAGGAGGCAGGAGACTTGCTTGAACCCAGGAGTTGGAGGTTGCTGTGAGCTGTGATGCCACGGCACCCTACCTAGGGCGGCAGCTTGAGGTTCTGTCTCAAAAAAAAGAAAAGAAAATAGTCTAATTAATGATATTTAAAATTTTTTTCTGGCACACCTAAGATTTCGCTGGTTGAAAATCACTGCTTTATGGCTACATTTTTCCCTGGGTAATCACATCCATTTTCTTGGTAATTTAATGGGATCTCCCAGCACATTGCCTGTACTGTAGTGTTATATTTTCAGCTGCCTACTAGACACCTTGAAACTGAATTCATTTCCTTTTTTATTGACCAAGTTGACTTTGTAAATATTTTTATGGTTGTAACTTTTTGTTTTGTTGCTTGGATTGGTAGGAGGAGTTAATTCAAATTAAACTTATGTGAAACATCCAATGTAAGAAGCAAGAGTTTTTGTCTGATTTATTCATTTATTCTCCAGGTACTGAGCACCTTCTATTTGTCTCTTTTTTCTTTTTTTTTGAGACAGAGTCTTAAGCTGTCACCCAGGGTAGAGTGCCATGGCAACCTCCAACTCTTGAGCTCAAGAGATCCTCTTGCCTCAGTTTTTCTATTTTTAGTAGAGACAGGTTTTCGATTTTTGCTTAGGCTGGTCTCAAACTCCTGAGTTCAAGCAATCCACCTGCCTCGGCCGCCCAGAGTGCTGGAAACCTCAAGGACATCTTTCATTCTTCCATATCTTATTGTCTCAAATCCAAATTTTTTATCAAGAATAATTCTGCTTTTGACTATATTAAATCAATCTTTTTTGTGTGTTTCTACTGCTGATATCCTAGTTCAATGAGATGTGGGTAGTACAATAAGTTTTTAATTGTTCTGTTCACCTCTAATATCTCTTCTAATCTAACTGTAAATTAAATCCTTCACTGGCTCCCAATAGCATATATGTTAGAAGCCCAATGCCAGTGTGTTAATATATCAGAGCAGGCCAGTTTGACCTCCAAGATGTAAAACAAAGAAATAAAAAAAAAACAAACTATTTTTAATATCTAAATTAATACCCATCCTGGCCTCAGATAATGGTTAGAGATGAAGTACATGTTTTAAAAGCCAAAAGTTAAATTTTTTCTATTAGTTTTGTTTTGTTAAAATAATGGCACTGAAATTTTAAAAAAGTGTCAAAATAACAATGGGAAAAAGCAGTAGCAAAATTTACATATTTTTGCAATCAAGGCCCTTACATGGGCTTTAACTCCAGACCCATTTTCCAAACAGAATCATAAGTGTAATACCAATTGATAAAATCCATGTTTGTCTATTTTATTAGAATAATTTTACTTAAGTTAGTATTCAGAACATAAAGTCAATGAAATGGTGAGGCTGTTTTG